CAGTCTGCAATAAAACGGTTCCTTCATGGCCACATTACAAAACAGGGCGGTAGGTCAGAGGACTTTCAGCTCATAACTGATTACTGTTGGCCATTAGCTCAGTGCGTATTATTTGAGAAAGGTGGTGAAAGAGAGCTTAAGTAGTGCTGTGGATTCTCTGAGGGACCCTCCACGGTGGGAGCCATCCAAGGACAACCAGGAGAGATTTTTTGGGTGGAGGTAAAGGGGGGGGGGGGGGGGAGGCAGGGAGGAACTGGCCACCCCACGGTGCCCCGCTGGCTGTGGTCTGCAGTCGGTGCAGCAGTAGGTAACTGTGGAGCCAAGGTGGAGTGAGAAAGGAAGGGAGGAAACTCAGAGAGAAACCATGAAAAATGTGGAGCATGAAAATGTCTCCCTTGGTTTATGGCAGTGCAGCCCGGCTTCCAAGAGAAACACATCTTTAAATTTAACTTGAGATGTCTTTTTTTTCTTCTTCCTCCACTCCCAACTGCTGGCAAGGGCCCGGTTTTGAAAGCAGGGCCAAGATGCTTGGAAACTGCGATCATGTTAAAAAAGCACTCAATAATGTGGCTTTTTGGAAATGTGGCGACAGCTTCTGTATGAGGGCTCAGCTTTCAGCGTTGGTGAACATGTTTGGTACGTGTGCAGCTGCAGAACACTCAGAACCGTATAAACGTTCAGAAAAACACTTGATTTACACACTGATGGTATATTTACTGAAGGATAATATGAAGTGTAGAATATCACTTACATATTCTGCAGAACGTTTGGCTGCAGTACATCAAACATAAACTCTGTTGGCACTGCGCTGTTAAACTGTTTCTCCATACCACGTTCAGAAACACTCTGAGGGAGAAACTGTGTTTTGAATAAGAGGCTATAAATATAAGACTTCATTCTGGTTATTCCAGTGACTTGGATTAAAATGACGGGGGCGGCTGGAAACATTTTTGGCCTGCTATCAAATTAAAGCTTCGTACCAAGTACTAATATTTTGCTAGTCTCAGGAGGAAGTCATCTCTCATGCGGATGATTCAGAGCTCATTTAGGAAAAGAGCATAAATCAACATTTAATGGAACAAACATACCTCTGAAGGAAACAGAGCCACCTCCACAGCATCCACACTCACTTATGGAGTCACAATTACCGAATAAAATGCTCGACTGACGATGAACACATTTTCTGGGTGTGTAATGTAATGCCAGAAGTTAACACCTCTGATTACAGCCGGTGCCAGAAAACATTCATTTAAGTCAGAGATATTTGGCAAATACATCCAGGGAGTTATTTAGAAATGAATAAAAAACCTTGAGGCTGTGTTTAACTTTAAAAATGTGACGGATGATTTTCATACAAACAAATTCAATACTGTAAAGCATTATACATTTTCAACTGGTTATTAATACTTGAATGTGCTTTTAAATAACACATGGAGTAGATTATAAAAGTTTGCAACCACGCCATAGTTTGGGTAGTACATTACCATAAAAGTATGATAAACAATCCCTTATCTTGAGTGGTTTTCCACCCTTAGATACTGAGTAAAGTTAACAAAGCAAACCAAACCAGGTCAATTTTATTCAGCTCTTAAATAAAATGTGTATCCTTTGTTTTGAATGTCATATGCACATATTTCTGCTAACTAATTATACATTTGTACAATTTTTAAGGGTAAAACTTGAGCTTCCTGTGTCTACTGACTCATAAAATCATATAAAATATAAAAAACTGTAATTTTAGAACACTATAACAAGTATATATATTTTTTTTAAAAGCCATTGGTGCGTGTTCAGGATGGATGAATTTGCAAAAATAAATCTTGCATGAAAGTGAATCCACAACAATATTCTTGATATCATCATCCTTATCATCACTGAAATCATCTTCATCTGCATCCTCCCAAAATGAGGAAGGGGCAGAATTTCAAAACTAATCCTCCATCTTTTTGCACGCCATATTTATCGGCTGAAGTTTCTCGAGTGCTTGTTGAGTTATGTTGACGCTTTGTTACCCCCCTTTTTCCTCGGGCAGGGCCACAGACTCTCTCATAAGGCCTTTTCCCTCTGATGCATTACGCCAATGGTGGAGAAATCTCCATCAGCCTATCAAACAACTTCACAGATAATGCCTCAAAGCAGCGGAGACGTCACAGCTTTTAGTCACGTTAATCCCTCAACCACTGCAGACAGAAACCCCCCGCTCTGCTCTCACAGAGGTAATTTGTTTTACACAGTTACTTTTTCAAAGCGTTAAATATTGGCCAAATCCACAAGGGTGGTTTGTTTTATTGGTTGCCCTGTCCTGGGTTGCCAAGAGGGACGTATAGGACAGCTTTTAATGGAGGGGGAAAGCTGACATTAAATACAGGCCAGATGGACTTTCTCCTATCCTGCTCATAAAAGTTCTGAGGACAGTTCACAAATCAAGGCCTCTCAGTATTATGTTAAGCGTTTGGATTGTTATTGTTATTGTACATTTGCAAATACTACTGTAATTTATAGCTTTTCGAGCATAATTCGAGACTCAACTCACCCAGACATTTAATATGTGAGAGTTTAACAGTTAATATTGGCTTGATAAAGTGCCCGGGGCTTTTACTGCCTTCCATGGAAATCATAACTCTGACAACTTTTCATGCAGCGTGAATTAAAAGTGAAGATCAAGACGAGTGCCATCCACTTCATAACTGTCACTGTTAGTTTATGGGACGACTGGGCTGCAGTTTTGGGGTGAAATACTTCCAAAAGCCAGCAGCAGGTATTACTGTATGGGCAGCAGAAAGGGGGAAAATGAAAAGTGAAATTCAAGATGCGAAGCTAAAACGGAAAACTGCAGCTCTCTGGGGGTCAGTCCTCTTTCCGGAGGAGAGGAAAGTGGACCCCATAGTGGAGAGGGTTTGTGGTGGTCCGAGTTTTTGTGTCACTCACTATGATGTTGCTGCTAACATGACAACAAATACCAGAGGGCTTTACATTTCCTGACTGAGGTACAAAGGCACAGAGCTTTATTTATCACATACTGTACACTATATATCAAGTCCTTTCACATTGTTTAGTAGAGGTGTTTATGTAAGATATAACTTTATTTCACAGGTGAATAATGTTTAGCAGTGATGGAAAGTACATCCTTCTAGGACAGTACTCAACAACTTTGAGGTACTTGTGCATTTCCATTTCGATGTGGTTATGGTACTTTAACCTAAGGAAAGATCAGTAGATTTTTCCTCCTGTGAAGCAAATTGTGGTTTATTTTCTGTATATCTTGAGTTCCAGTCACGAAAAAAGTACACATTTTTCACATTAGTAAAATTAGCAATAATATAGTTTAGCTCAAATAATCACAAAAGTCAGGCATTTAAAATCTTACTTAAGTAAAAGTACAAAAGCGTTGGCATCGAGATATACTTGAAGAACCAAACGCAAAAGTAACCTATCACTGGATTATAATGAGCTATACATCTAAGTACCTCAAAAATGGTATACTTAAGTACAGTTACTAGAGTAAATGTACTTTGTTTGTTTCCAAAACTGCCTGATGCTGAGGTCAAGTCTTTATAATCATATATCATTTTCTATGAATTCATATATGATATAATAGACATTATTAAAATGTACACATGGTTGCTTTAAAATGGACCAGAATGTATAACAACACACACACACACACACACACACACACACACACACACACACACACACACACACACACACACACACACACACACACACACACACACACACACACACACACACACACACACACACACACACACACACAAATGGCTTATTTGACACAATTTATGTTGTCACTGCACTACAGCTGGGATTGGAAACCACTTATTCAGGGGCATTTTTGTGTATAAATCATCATGTTTTTGCACCAAAAATACTCTAACATTGGGCAACATATCTGACATTTATGATGACTACATTGGAATATTGTTCCCTGTCAAGACACTGAAGGTAAGTGAGGTTAAAACTCCAGATAAGTTTGAAAAAAAGACAGTAAAAACACATTGTGTGTCATTCCAGATTTATGGGGCTCTTATAAAATATAATTGCTCTGACAGACACAGGTAGACTTAATAGACATGTAAAGGGAGGGAGTGTGTCATGACATCATGTCGTTAAACATCCTTTAACAGGTTTAATTGTGCCGCACATGTGCACAGTTTGGATGTGCATTGCAGCAATGATGAACATTTCTTATATCTTATGAATCTTGAGCAGTCACCTTCATGATAAGGCTGGTTGAGAAATACAATTTCAACACTTCTCTGTCCTCGCTGTTGGTTTTTGTTGTAGTCATAATAAAAAGGAGCAGATCTGAGTGGACTCAGAGGGAGGTTATGAGCAGCACTATAAATGGAGGAGATGTTGATTGTATCTGCGTCTGGATACATAAAATATACTCATCCGGGTCGTCCCTGCTATCTGGAGCCAGTAAATGTATACAAACTATAAATTACCCTCTTCTTCTTCGTCTCTCTCACTTTCTGTTGCTGGAGCCTCAACATCCAGGAGGAATTTAGTTCACTGAGATACATTATTGTGCTTATATTTATTTATATAAGAGGAGAATAATATAAACACATTCATAATGGAGGTATTATTTGGTCCACTAACTTGTTTAGACTGTTGGAAATAATGATGTTAAGTTTTACAATGTTTTTATTTTTGATTGATTCTTTTTTTAATTGTTTTTTTATGATTTTCGACCTAAGTAACACAAACTTCCAGTAAATTATGTTACTTATACGTGTTGTATTATATGTTTTAGTTTTGTGTGGATTACACCACCACCACATGTTTTAGAGCACCTATTTATTTATGCATTTATTTGGTTGCATATTTAAGTGCATGCAACTATTTCTTCTGTTGCTGAAGCTTTATTTTTCTGATATGCAAAAGCACCAAAACAAACTCAAAAACGTAAAAATAATTCACTGACTTATAATAATAAAACATAATAATAATAATAATAAAACATCATAATTCAATTTTCAAAGTAAGAAACATTTTATTTACAATATTTTCAGTGCAAATTATTATTAACAAATAGCACAACCATATATCCAGACAAACCAAATAATACATGAACACTTCTGTGATTTTCTGAGATTTCATTTATCACGTAAAACGAGTGGTTCATAACCTAACAAATCAAATTCACAACCGCATTATTTCCTCCAGATGAGGAAAAACATGATGCACACCAAAGCTCTTGAGAGGAAAACGACAGTAAGGAAATACCTGGGGGAGGTCTGATTTAAAAAAAATAAAAATAGCTTGATATTTTAATTTAAGAGCCTCAAAAGGAAGCAGAAACAAATAAACGGAATATAATACAATAAACAAAATAATTTGGGCTATATTCCTTGTGTCTGGGTTAAAATAACATGTCATTTTGAACAAATAAACGAGTGTTGCTCCACTTGTTCCCAGGAATTAGACGCATACAGGCCTGTCTTTACGTTGCAGATGCCCTACCGAATTAACCGTCCACATGCGTTTTAACATTACTGTCGTTCTTCTGTCAAAATAATAAAAAATAAACTTATAGTACATATATCTAGAGGTTCATATGAGTGACGCAGCGGCCTCCGGGTCTGCCGCCGCCTCGGAGCTGCTGGCCGGCCCGATGCCGCTCATGATGACGCTGGTTTTGTTTGTTTGCTCAGAAATGTCCAAATGTCCGTCAGAGTGTTCCTCCTCCGGAGCCTCCTCGGATTCACACTCGCTCCGGCCCTCGCTCTCGCACTCGGACTCCTCCTCCGCCGGCTCTCGGGGCTCCCTGCCCGGCTCCGAGCTGCTCTTCTCCGGCTGCTCCTTGTCCTTGTCCTTCTGGGCCTGCGCCTCTTTGGAGTGCCGCCACTTCATGCGCCTGTTCTGGAACCACACCTTCACCTGAAAACACACACAAAAAAACACTGTTAAATAACTCTGTTTCTATGTGTGGTGCTGGGACATAAAGCTGTAGCATGTTTTAAAAAATCCATGTATTTAATTTCCTTAAATGTGCCTATAATTTCCAGGTAAAAATGTGCTCTTTTGTGAGAGAAGGGAATAAATACATATGATAGGAGAAAATGCAAGCATTAGTTGCTGCTTTTATCGTAGTCATTAGGAAATATAGTATACGATTATAGTCATATTATTTTAAATATTTTGGATACTTCCAAAAGTGTTTTTTCTTTCCCTTTCCTCTTTTATGATAAGGTAAAATAGGCTATATCGTTAACACATTATTTCAAGAGACATCTATTGCAAGAAAACCCTGTCAAAGACAGCATCATAAAAAGTGTAAATATAGTGCAAATAATATTATAAAAACTAGTAGATGACAGGAACCCTAAGTTTAATATTATCTAGGAATAGTAATAAAATATGTCTGTTTTTGTTGTAGGGTGAGGTAAAGTGACTCTGACGTGCTTGTGTTGAAATGTAAACAACTGGTGGCCTTTCAGCCAATCAGGTTGCACCACATTTTTATGATGCAGCTTTGCCAATTTACATTTAACATGGTTCTCTACCGTCTTCTGTGAATTACTGTGAATTAGTTTCAAATGTAAAGTTCTTGTCCTGAGAATAATCTGTGTAGGGAATGCAGGTCAGAAAAACAAAACCTCACTCAGACTCATGCTATTTTTCAAACATAAATAATGTGACTACAGCCATCCCTCAAACATGGAATCACATGTTCGAATTTAATATTATGTTAATGATTTGTCAAGTGCCAGAGGACACCAAATAAATTGTTTACTGCATTTTTTCTCGAAGTGTTTATAGTTTTAGCAACCTGTGGCTGACTTGCACAGAGTGGGTATCTATTGGCTGCTACAGGTATTTTTTTAGAAGCTGGAAAAGTGATGTCAGCAATATATGACCTGACATGACATGGTAAGGGTTTAAAGAAGAAACAAATATTTCATACAAATATTTTTTATATGAGTAAGTCTAAATCATTTTAAATACAATTTAATTAGGTGCCTGATGATTTTTTTTCTAGGGGGTGATGGGACGATAAAGGGGATTATGACCTCAGTTTTCTAAAATCCTACATCCCTGGTTATATTGTGTTATTGTTTATTTGGATCCACACAACTCTTCCTTAGCTCCCTATTCAATATTCCTATATTTAATCAATTTGCAGAAAATATAAACACATTTAAATGGCGTCAATAATGAAAATACATCAAAACCATACCTAACCCTAACCCCCCCCCACAAAAAAAATATACTGCAACCATGTGAAGGGAAACCTATAGAGCTAAATTATTTTTGAAGTCTTTGACCTTTTACAAAATAATATATCTTGCTAAAATTAAAATTGTAATACTATAAAATAAAACCTGTGTTTATTTACCTGAGCGTCTGTCAGCCCGAGCATCGCCGCCAGCTGTTTTCTGTCCGGCTTGGTGACATATTTCTGAATCTCAAATCTCTTCTCCAGTCCTTTCCTCTGCAGGTTAGAAAACACTGCTCTGGACCACGACCTCTTCCTCTTGTAGGTCTGTGGCATCGTGTCTTTGGTGAGGACAGCATACGGACCTAAAAGAGATGAAGTGGAGGTTAAATAAAAAGAGAAGAGAAAGCTGAGGATTGACTGCAGGTGTCTCACAGCTCCAAACACAGAGAGCTGCAGGGACAGTTTCCTGTCTGTTGAATGTCCTACAAGTGGTGACTACCTGGGAAGGTGTCCTGAAACTGATGCTGGCCTGAATGCCTGCTGCTGCTGCTGCCTAGTGAACTCATCATGGAGGACGCGTCGCTCATCCCGGGGTCTATGCAGGAGAAGTACTGGCTGGCCGCAGGCTGAATGGGGATCTGGATCCCTGACTGACGGTTCGAGCTAACGATGGATGTGAGATCTGTTACAGAGCGAGAGATGAGGGGCTTCAGTCAGGAAACAAAGACTCACAACTTAGGGGGGCAAGATGGTCTAGTGTTTAGAGAGACCATCAAACAAACTCAAAGCCTGGGTTCAAGTGTGGCTGATCCTGACCTCTGTGTTGAGGGGGCATCTGAGCAGAGGACCCCCTCCTCCTTAAAGTTATAAAGTTATAATCTGGTTCTGATTTTACTCTAGCTTCAGTTTAAAGTGTGGTAATGGTATCATTTATAAATAACGTTAAGGCCATAAACAGATCCCTATTTATTGTTTTCTTTGGCTGACATGACAGGAAGCCTCTCTATAAACACCACACATATGCTTTGAGTAATACAATCTCACCTCTTAATGAAGACTTTTCTCTGCCTTTATGGTCAAAATCTGTCGACAATATCCGATCAATTCCGAATTTGAGGTCTTTGCTTGAAGGCGGGGGAGATTGCTGGGAGTTGAAGGGAGTCCTGGAGACTGATGTGAGCTGTAGTCCGTGTCTGTGGTAAGGGGAGCCCGGACTCACCCTCGCTCCGTACACGGACGGCTCCGGCCCAACCGGAGAGGGGCGCAGCGGCGAGCTGCCGTGCTGCGCCCGGTGGTGGTGGTGTCCCATGTGCAGCATGAGGGCAGAGGATCCCGGGATGTTCTCCGCATCTCCAGCCTGCAAAATGTCTGCGATGCAAAAGGACGGTTTCTTCATGGTATCCACAGCGAAGCCCCCTGCGCAGTACGCCGACCAGAGGCTAAAATTTGACGCGTAAAACGGGTTGAGCCCGGCCGTGTACATCCCGCAGCCTGTAATGCCTTATTGTTTCTCAGTAGATGGTATAAACTGACATGCATGTAAAAAGGAAAAAGGCAGGGATGGCGTTTTAGGGGGATAGATGACCGTCCTCTTCGTGTCAGTGCCAAAATCGCTCTCCCAACTCTGAAATCCAAACCCTGCAGCTCCACTCTCAAGTCTCTCCGCTGACACTGATTGGTCGCTTTCTGAGCCAATGGATGTTTTGCATTCACGGACAACACGCCCTAACAAATGAGGATGATGTGTATCTAAAACACACACACACACACACACACACACACACACACACACACACACACACACACACACACACACACACACACACACACACACACACACACACACACACACACACACACACACACACACACACACACACACACACACACACACACACACACACACACACACACACACACACACACACACACACACACACACACACACACACACACACACACACACACACACACACACACACACACACACACACACACACACACACACACACACACACACACACACACACACACACACACACACACACACACACACACACGACCCGGACACTTCGCAGAAATGTTGATCCTGAGATGATGGATTGATCACTTAAAGAGTACCCCAACCCATCACCGCACACAAAAACATTACACCCATTACTCTCATGTTAAATTCGATATTCTTAGTGGAAATAATCAGTGTGCACGCAGTGGATTACAGAAATATATTTTGACAGAGTCAGTTTTCAACACAAATATGCATTTCGCCCTGCAGAAATACAATTGAAATCGAACAAAAACATCCCAAACGGTTGTGTAAAATTGCTTATTTAATAAATGACCTGTAAAACCACACAGAGACCCGACCTGTAATCATATGACCCCGGCCCAGGAGAGGCTCTATTAGCACTTCTCATCCTGTTTTTGATGGGCTGTGATTCGTGTTAAATGAGCGGATATTCCTGCTAGATTTGCCCCCAAAATAGAACCTGTTTTAGTATTTTAGGATACAGCAGAAATCCTTATTTCTTCCGGAGCGGAGGGGGGGGCCTTTTATAATGACTGTTAGAACTTCCCTTTTTCAATATTTGTGCAACTTTATCTCGACCTGCAAGTTGCACGGTGACGCAAATCCGTCCCCATGCTCATAATAAACAGAGGAAACCGATTCCCCTCTTAAACCAAAACACAATTAACTTCAGAGGCGATACCTCTTCCGCGAGGGCCCCTCAAGATTCACACGTTGGGAGTGGGCCAATAACATGTTATAATTAAAATAGTAGAAATAAACATTATACTTGTCTGACCTAAAACAATACATTTTACATATCCAGCAATAACATTTATAATCGTGTTTAGAGTTAAAGTTCATATATTTGTTCCAACTGTCAATACAAATGAACTCTCTCGCCTCTCTACTGTTTCTCCCCCCTCCTCCCCCCAGATCGCATGTTTCTCTCGCATGTGTGTGGAAACAATGGCTTCTGAAGCCCGCATTCATTTAGTCCTGATTCATAAAGCCGGAAGCGCAGATGACCCTGACTGCCTCCTATCATGCTGTTTTCGAGTGACACTTTTCCGGGTTAAAATTAGATATAGAGATTTAACGTTTGCCCTCCATCATGCAGTCAAAACAATCCAGGGAAGAGGATGTAGCGACGCTGCACGCCTCGAGCTATTTCAGGTGCTGATGAGCTTTTCAGTGGGAAGCTTTATAACACACAGGATCAGACTTTAGCTGGGACAAACTGGGGTTACATCTGCTCATACTTTCTCAGATACTGTAGATTAAACATCCATAATTCAGGAGAGTATTTGCTGTTTGCAATCATCAATCTAAAAAGCATGTTTAATTTAATCTTCAAATAATAATTGGTGTCTATTTGACTTGAATAAATGGCTCTAATTGTGTTTTTTACTGTAGAAAATAAATACATATGAAAGACACTACATCATTTCCCTTTACTTTTTGCTCCATCTTTTTGTGCAGAAAAACCTGTTTGTGAAGTTGTATTTTCAGGTTTAAGTTAAAATAAGCATTGAAACACTGATTTTAAATGTCTACACACACACAAAGGGTTTAAATAATTTATAGATTTAGTGTGAGATATGCCATACATAGGCAAACTCTGTTTTTTTTCCTCCAAAATCTGAAATGTATCCAACCATATATTTTTTATTTATAATTCAAATAATTGTAGAATCTTGTGCGAAAAGGACAATTATTTAAATGTGTCTATTTCAGACAGATTATTTATTTTTCAGGGCAGAATAAACTAAAGAGACCGTTTTAAAAGTAGCCATAAAATAATCTTGCAGTCTGATGATTACATTGTTGTTAAAGTTTATTTAATTTTTTTTATATTATATATGTATTTTAATGCACCCACCACTTGATTTTACGCACACTCTTAAAGAGAAGAGAGGCAGGTTATAAACACCAACCTGCAGCACAAAGTGTCTTTTTGTTACACATACGTTTCTTTTTCAGCCCTTATATCATAGCCCTTTACTGTTCAAATCCAGGTCTGAAAATGGTCTTAAAAAGCACACATTTGATCCACAAATCACCTGTAAAACTGAAATATGACTTTTTCAGGCCGGGCCCTGCAGGATACTATTATTCACCTTTATTTCCCTTTTCCAGGCCGGCCCTCAGTGGAGCTGTAAACGATGGCAGTTGGGATTACTGCCAGTGCCAGCGACTCCTCTTTGCGTAAAGCTATAGCTGCAGGGCTGAATGTCTGCAACAATAGAAAAATCCCTCGTAAAAAACCTAAAAATAAAAGTCTGATTGTCTTCTTCTGAAGTAGTTTGGAAGCACAACATTGTCCCTGACTCAAAGACAATTGTAAATACATTTGAGTTCTTGGACTTTTATGACTGTGTTTTTCCAGCATTAGGATGTTGTCCACACACAATAATGCACTATTAATCTGTAACAGTACATTTATTGAAAATCTTCACTCATAGTATTTCCATTTGATGCTACTTTCTCCACTACATGTCAGAGGGGAACATTTTATTACTGATTTATTTGACAGATTTATTTTTACTTTTCAGACTAAGAATAAAACACATGTTAAGGAAAGATGAAAATATCTCAAAGTTGCAGAATAGTTTTTGTGAAATCACGGTTTTAGCCTAAAGAGGTCAAATTATATAATATTTTTCAGTAAAGTATAAGAATATAGAAAAGTCTGATGTCTTTTTTCTCCTTTGCTATATAACATCAATCATTTCACACCGACAGCATGTTGGTCACTGATCTGAATATAAAAGTAACTCCAACAATTTAATAATGTCAGATACAAGAATATTTGAGAGAGAGGACTTTGATTAAGTATTTTGTAAATATTACTTTTAAAATAATCTTGTTTTTATTTGCTTTTATTTAACAAAGGATCTTCTTATACCAAAAGTATAAAATCAAGTGCTAAAAGACCAACAAATATTCAAGAACATTATTGTTGTCAGACGTATTGTAACTTGTTGTGTAACCATCGCTTTACCTCCCTGTTAAAACATGAGATAATGACTGACTAAAAGGTCATTATTCATTGACTGATTATTTGCCTCATCCTAGTAGAGAAGGCAGCAGCTCTACTGTAATATAGATTGCCTTATTTAACAGCCTGCAGTGCAGCTTAAACAAACAGTATAAGAAATGAAAAGTCAAAGCTTTTATGAGTTACATGCCCACTGTGGATGAAAACAAAGGCGTGCTGCTGTGCACCGTCACTACCTGAAGTTTAAAGCGTCTAACGGAGCCCATTGTTGTGGCCTGATTGCTGGCCGAGTGTTTTTCAGGAAGCCTTATCAGGCGGAGGAAGAGCGAACGAGCACCTCTCACTGAAGCCCTGCTGGATCACAGGGACATAATTAAATGATTTCCATTATTACAGCGAGAATTATTGCTCCCACTCTGTTAGACTCCAGCTCCAAGCCAAGATTACTATTTCTGGCAATGTTTGCCTCAGGAAGGAACTTTCGCAGATTTAATGGGACCTGGGCCATTGTACACAGCCTTCTGTATGGCACCCTGCCATCATTTCCAGAGAAGAAGTGAGGGATGTGTATGAAGTCCAAACAACACTGTCCCCGTTTATCTGATCCTGAATATAACCAAGATAATTCAAACACTGAACTCTCTGATGTGGAGATGGACTTAAATGAGTTTCAATTTGCATGTTGGAGGTGAAATGTCACTCCTAGGATCTGTTTTGTTCTGCTGTGTGTAGAAATCCTGCATTTAAAAGTATGTTTTTTGACTAAATCTGTCAAATAATTCCCCAAGGAGTAGAAAGCATAGGACACTATTTTTCTCTGTGAAATGCAGTGGAGTAAAGGTAGAAAGTGGCATAACATGAAAACACTCAAGTAAAGTACCATTACTCATGATTAAACTTACATCACAGCACTGCTCTTGTTTCTGTATGTCGTCCATGTTGAGCAACAGCAGCAGCTGTTCCTGTAAGAGAAAAAATAATTAAACAAAATGCTTTGACCTACGAATCTGATCACATGAAGATAAACCCAACATGTAAACTCAATCCTTAAAGCCTGGAGTTTGTCCATCTAAAATCTTCTAGTTTTAAGTTTAGATTTTTAAATGACTTGGTGTTGATGGAGATTTTTGTTTCTCAGGCGCTAAATAAGTGTTACAATGACTCCATGTGGACTTACAGCAGGTGATGATCTGTAAACTCTCAGTGGTAAATTATCACATTTCTGGAGTAGCTACTTATAATAACCTGCAATAAAAGTAACTCAATGCATTCAACTTACTTTATGCAATTTTACTGGTACTTTATTTGAATGTTCTGCTACAACATTTATTTGACCATTTTAATTACTTACATTGCATATTGAGATTGATCATAATAAATGAAGTCATCAAATAAGCTAAGATGTATTAAATAAAAGCTTTTTGATCCCTGGGCGGAAGATTCACAAGCCAGATTCACATTTGTAGCTGTTACATTAAAGTAAGCATTACTCATTGTAGCTACTTAGTATACAAATAATAATAATTTGCATAGGGACTTCTTATATCTGTTTTTAAAGTAACCTAAGTAGACTATTGAATGCAGGAATTTTGACTTAGCAGAGTTTAGCTACACTATATCATTGACAATAAACTA